TCACAGATCTTCATTGAAGCTCCTGCAGATTTTCATAATCTGGGGCACCCTCTTCCTCCTCTTCCTCTGCCTCCTGGGAAACTAAGGTGGCTGTAGGGGGAGGGGAGGTTGGTCTTCACCTCACAAACTGTCCCCCGACCCAGGGAGCCCCCCAGTTCCTGCCCATCCCCCAGCACACACCGGACTCAGTCCTCACAGTGGGCTGCAGGTCCTGGGACACGTTCACATACTCCCGGCTCCCATCTGTGGGGACAGGTCAGAAGGAGGGGCAGCCACACCCGAGGGGCAGGCCACACTGAGGGCAGGAGAGCAGAGGACACCAGACCGAGGGGGACAGAGCCACAGAAGGCCTGTGGGCACGGCCACACTGGCAGGGGGGTGGGGTGGCAGGGCCAGGGGAAGGGAGGGCAGGGGGGCACCGGCCACTCACCCAGAGATGCGTCTGCACTCTCCTCACTCTCGGGAACGTTCACATAGTCCTCCCCCGACTCCACTACAGAAAAGCACGGAGCCCGGCCGTTACCCAGGGCCCCTGGGCAGACACCCCGGAGTTCCCAGCCACAGCCCAGACCTTCAACAAAACCAGCCAAGACTCCTGCACAGCCGCCCAGAGACCTCCCCACAGTCGGCCCAGAGGGAGGCAGGGAGGGAGCTCGGACCAGCGCAGCCCACGGCCTGGAGGAGGGCAAACAAAGGCCGTGGCAACAGAGAGAACAGGGCGATTCGACCAGAACTGGTGAGAGGGAATGCGATGGAGAGAGGAGGCAGCAGACACCAGCAGCGCCGGCCTGGGCAGCTGTGTGGCGGGGCTGAGTGGCACGTGTGGAGGGAGAGCCCTCAGGGCTGGGCCCAGTCAGAGGGGCCATGTCCGGGTTGGCCTTCCGCTCCAGCCAGGCCTGCCCTGGCTCCCACTTTGGTCCTAGTCCCTTCGTAGCACATCTTGTCACTGATATGATCTTGTTCTTTTACGTGTTGACTTGTTTCTCCATGAGGGTGTGGACAAGACAGGCTTTGGAGCCAGACGGCCCAGGCTCAAATCCAGTTCCATCACTAACAGGCCACGTGACCTCAGACAAGCTCCCCAACCTCTCTGGGCCTCAGTGTTCTCATCTGTAAAATCGGATGAGGAACTACCCATCTCATGGAGGACTAACGCCGTGAATACTAAGTGTGAGTATTAAGCAGTAAGTGCTGCCAGGCGTCTGTTAAATAAATCAACGCTGCCATCGGGCAGACGGGGTAGCCGAGGTACACGAGGGAGGGACCTGGGAGGGTTACCAAGCTCAGACACGCGAAACTCTTAGCGAGGCATCGTAGGTCCTCAGTGACGTGAGCTTTTTTTTTTCATGACTCTCCCTCGTTAGCTGTTATATCAGAGGCACGCAGTAAATGCCACGGGCGAGTAAGTGAGTGGATGAGGAGAAACACTTGGGCAGACGCTGAGGAGCTCGGGAGAGGGGTGGCAAGTCGGGAATCTGGTGGCAGATGAAGCCAGTGTGTAGACGGGAGGCCCAGGGCACGTCCAGGGAGGAGAGTAACAGAACACTGAAGATGACCAGACAGGGAGGAGGACGCCTAACCGGCAGGCTGTGACCAAAACAAAGGGGGAAAGCAGCTCAGAGGAAACTGAGACAACGCAGGAAGCAGAAGAAAAATTCCCAGAGAGCAAAGACAAAGAAGAGAACCTAAAACCGATATCCTTCAGGATTTACACGGTGACACTGCCTCCATGAACAGGAACAGGAGGCTCTGAAACAGGGACATTCAGGACTCTAGAAAGAGCTTTCCGACAGGAGAAATAAATGGAATAAAAGGACAGTCCAGGATCAGAGCCAGCGAGGAAGAAAGTCAAGGGACTCCTGCAGACAACAAAAGGAGGAGACAAAGAGGAGAGAGAAAGGGAGGCTCCAGAAGACCGGAGCAGGAAGTCCACTGTCTGAAGGACAGGGTTCTAGAAAAAGACAAGAGAGAAGGCAGAGGAGTGGCAGCATCAGGGAAACACGGGGGGAGAGCAGATCGAAGGGGCCGCAGCGGAGAAGCTGGAGGGTCAGACGGGCGACTCACTGGAGAAGGCGCTGTCGCGGGGGCCGGGGTTGCTGGGCGCAGCAGCTGCCGGGACGGCGGTGCACGTGGCCGTGGCCGTGGCCGGGACAGTGTCAGGAAGCACCACTCTGAGGGAAAGTCAGGGATGGGTGAGCGTGGGCCGCGGCCTCGGCCCCGTCCTCCCCCCGGGCCACTCACAAGTAGCCCTCGTTGTGATAGTCCTCCTCGTCGTCCTCATCCTCACAGGCCGGCTCTGAGGAAGGACACGGGGTCAGCGCAGCCCGGGCCGGGCCCAGCCTCCCTGCCCACGGCCCCGGGGGCCCAGACGCACCCTCATTCTCATAGCTGGCCACACTGTTGGCTACAGAGAGAGGGCGAGAGGGAGACTGAGTCAGGAGAGAGGGGGCACATCCTCCGCCAGCCCAGCCCCAGGCCCGGCCCCGCTCCAGCTTACTGCCATCGGAGTCCTGCCGAGCGGACGGCATTCGGTGGGAGCCCCCTGGGGGCTGTGGGGATCTCCTGAGAGTTCAAAAGTCAGAGGTCATGCCTGGGACGGGGCTCTGGGGCAAGAGGGGTTGCAACGGGGAAAGAAGCCCCCAATCCAAGAAGGTGAGGGGTAGAGAGGGGGCCTTGGAGAGGAAGGGTTTACTTACGGGATGGGGAGCAGGTCAGGCTGGCTCAAGGGTGGACAGGAGGTCACGGTAGCCTGTGGCCAGGGGGCTAGTGTGGCTGAGGACACAGGACCAAGCTGAAGGAATGACTCCAGACACAATGCCCCTACCCTCAAGGCCTCAACAGTGGCCCAACCCCCTGAAACCCCTGTGCCCTGGACAGGCCTGAGGGCACCCATAGCCTTCCCCCCACACCGGTCACGGCCATGTGGGCAGCCACCGGGGCAACCTGAACAAAGGCACACACTTGCTCACAGGCTGGGGATTCTCCCCCTACCCCACGGGAGAGGGCCCTCCGTGTACTCACGAGGCCTTTTGATCATGATGCTCCTTGGCAGGCTGGCGGGAGAGACAGCGGTAAGGGACCAGGAGACACCCGGCCCGGCCCGTGTGGGAATGAGGGAGCTGCCCGGGCCGGGCAGGCGGGGGGGCAGACTCACCTGTCCGGCACAGCACTGTCGTAGGCGTAGGTGTCTGCGGAGAGATGGCCAATGGGGCAGGGAAAGGGAGTGAGGTGGGAGAGGGTGGCAGTCAGGGGCACGCAGGAGAGTTAGGGACAGTTAGACGGAGGGAGGGACCCCAGTCCATGTGTCCGGCATCTGGTCACCCCACCAGCTCCCGCTCACCTGGCAGCTCGCGGCAGCGCACACAGAGGGCCGTCAGCAGCACAGCCAGGAGGGGCAGCAGCAGGAGGCCCAGCACCGCGGGGAGCAGCACGGCCGCCTCCATCTGCGGGACTGAGCTCGGACCGGACCTGCGGCTCGCTGGACGCCCAGCACAGAACTGCAGCGGAGCAAGCGCTGGGCAGCAGGCGGAGGGGCCCCGGGGCGGAGGGGC